TAACAGTTGTCCTCACATTCACATTATGGGACACAAATACACAAATCCTCTAAAGCACAGAGATTGGAGTTTCACTTCAACAATTCGGATACCATAGGCATTAGAAGCCATTTCACATTTTTCTTGTACACAAAATTATCTTTTTTCCTTTTCATTGTCTTAATCTCCACAAGAAGCCTAATGTTTAGAGGATTCGTGCATCTGTGTGGTCAGGACTTGATTTAAACTCATGGCTTTGCAATAATCTAGTGAAAACATCCATAGAGTTAACTAGTTTGTCATTGAAATCTCATAGCAAGAACTAAAATGCTCTTCATTTATGAAGCCATCTGTTAGCTAACTGCTAGTTAGTCTCAGGCTGAAACAAATGCTGTGTTTACATTTCATCTTCATCACAGACTTTGTAAAAATAGAACTTTCCTTATAATGGTAATGTTTATTAGGCATTAAAAAAAACCTTTATGTTTGAAATACATAATTCAAAGAATTAGAACAAATAGTGAAATCAGCATTCTTTCCTTTTTAAAATTCCCTCCTCTACCCCTCCTCCTCCCTTCCTCCCTCTTTTCCTTCCTTCCCCTCCTCTCTTCTTTAAATAGGTCTCACTGTATTCCAGACTAGCCTTGAATTTGCAATCTTCCTGTCTCAGTCTCCTGTGTAGCTGAGGTAGCGAATGTAAGCCACCACATCCAATTCTGTATGAAATTTTTCATTAGAAAAATATTTGGTGTCAAAAGGAAATTGTTCTTTGGGTTTCAATGCAAATATTTGTTAATTACAAGAAATCAAAAGAACACGAACACACACACACACACACACACACACACACACACACACACACACACACACACAAAACCCAGGCCCAGATGGATTTACAGCAGAATTCTAACAGGTAAAGACACAACCACATGCATCTTTAATAGCAGAAAGATAACACATGTATTTCTGAGCCAGATTGTATATCCTTTATAAATCTGTAATAACAAAAATATGTAGTGTTTAACAAGCAACAGGCACTGTCATTAACATTTATACATTAACTCATTTTAAATACCAACAATGACCCTAGAAAGCAAGCAACATCACTGTATTTTATATACATAAACTGAAGGCACTAAGAGGTAAACTGACTTGCCCAAATTCCTGTTTATAAAGTAGTTGATTCTGACTGACCATAGGTCTGTCCTCAAGAGCCTGTACGGCTCACAGCTCCATTATACTGCCTTGAACATCTGCTGCTGGGACCACCTATGGGGGAGGAACAGTCAAGAGCGGCTGGCCAGGAATGCCAGCTCCCCTGTGATAAATGGGCAGAACACACAACAGACTGAACCATGTCCTTCACAGAAAGGCTCTTTCAATTTTGCATGCTATTAATTTCTTAATATGAAAATGAAATTATTGGCTGGGTGTGGTGGTGCATGACTGTAATCCCCAGCACTCAGGAGGGTGAGGGAGGAGGACTGTTGTGAGTTCGAGGCCAGCTGGATTACATTATGAGTTCCAGGCCAGCATTTCCTACAGTGTGAGACCTTGTCTCAGAAAAAAACAAACAACCCCTACCAACCACCCAACCACCACAAAATGAACCACAGAGAAAATAAAATAAAATTGCCATTATCCAAATGTTCTAAAGGACAAGATAAAGATGTGAAATTACTTGATCCAAGGGTATTTTACATGTAAGTACAATGTAATTTTGGTTTTAATTTGTACAATTTTCGAGAAATAAACTGCTTTGGTCCAGAAAAACTGCTCAATGTCTGGAAATTTATATCATGCCACAGCCCAGTATTTTAGTTCTGTATGCAACACACCCGCAGGGGCAGACATGCCCCAGAGTTTATGCGTTAGGGCCAATAGCACCTTGCTATAGATTACTTTTTATTTTTCTTCTATTAACTAAGGCAACATTGCACATATACTTTACTAGTTATGAATTTCATTCTGAAAACTGAAAAAGTACATGTATTTGTTTAGGTCCCATAATGATTATATGGAATTTTTAATTCTTGAGAGATTTCCCCCCTCATATCTTTAGTGTACCCCTTTCTAAATTCATCAAATAATAAGACAATGTAAAATCTGGTTGATTTGTCTTCTTTTCTCAGTACTACTCTGAGGGTTGGGGTTGATGGTACAGGCCACTACTATACACCAACACACTGGGTTCAGTTTCTCAGGTCTCACTTCAGAGCTCTATCTTTTTTCTATGCCTTGAGCTCTATTCTTTTCCTTTTCAGTCGTTGCTGGCACACTCCTGGCTGCAATCTCTCAGACACTGACTGGTAACTGTTAAGTGTTAGGATGAGCACTGAGCACCTCTTCACTCAGCTGCATCACGAGGAAATCCTGTTCTGCCCAACTTCAAATGGTGCATTTTCTTTGCATCCAATAGTTCAGTGAAATAAATATTTTCCTCAGTATAAAAGGGCAAGTTTTGAATTTTTTTTCTATTTTACTTAATACTTTTAGTATGAGTGCTTTGTCTGCATGTATGTAAGTGCACCGATCTTGTGCAATGTCCTGCAGAGGCCAGAAGAGAGTGTCAGATCCCCTGGAACCAGAGTTACAGACAGTTGTTAGCTGCATGTGGGTGCTGGGAACTGAACCCAGGTCCTCTGGAAGAACAACAAGTATTCTTAAACACTCAGTCATCTCTCCAGACCCCATTTTAAAATTATTTTGTGATGAAAAAATTTTACTCTAAGCATACAAGCCTACCTAGGGTCCATTATCACATATTATAATACTTCCAAAAATACTGGTTGATGCTTAGTGAATGCAGAATGGGGAGATGACTCAGTGAGTAAAGTGCATGCTGCACCCACAAGCATAAGGGATCCCTTGAACCCATGTAAAGTCAGACACGTTAGTACTTGTCTATAATCCCAGTGCTCCTACCATTAGATGGAAGGCAGGGACAGAAGAATTGCCATAAGTGAGAGGGCCAGTTAGCAATGGTGGAAGAGAGAGATCCCATATCAAACAAGGTAGAAGGTGAGGACCAACACCCAAGGTTGTCCTCTGACCTCCACATACACTGAACTCCATAGCACATGCATGCCTGTACACACACACATATATATACACAAAGATTTAAAACAATTTACTGTCTGATGCAATGTGCCAGTCCCTGTTCTAAGCGCCTCACATGCTACTGTCTCATCTCATAGCAACCCCATAAGGAAGATATCCTCATAGAAAGCTGAGGTACAGAGTGCTGTTTGCCAATCTGTCCAAGGTCACATGGCTAGTAAGTAGTGGAACAGGGATTTACACCTTGAACATCTGGTATCAGAACACAAGTTGCTAGTAATCCTACCTTACTGCCTATCAAGTTTTTGGGGACCTCTTGTTGCACTGGAGGAACTAACTGTTTCACTATAGATTTTCTAATCACCACCTTTCTCTTTGGAGTCTAACACAAATGCTCAATAAATATTTATTACTTGAGTAAATGAAGACTTGACTGCCAATATTCAGTGTTTTCCCCATCTTTTTAAATATGCCTTTTCCTTTTAGAAACAGCAAGCTGAAACCCCAAACACCACTTACTCCTTTCTCAGTGTCGAAGAGAAAAAATTCTACATTTAAAAAGAATATTGTACCTTACTAGTTTTCATCTGAACTTTAAGTGTGCTGACCAAAGGGAAAAACTATAAGTCACTCTTCCAGTATTCGGTTGCACAGCCCTGGAATATCAGGCTTACTTTGAAGGAGAAATTCTTTTGTAATAATATACAAGACTTAGATACTCTTCTCCACTTTTAGTAGAAACAGCTTTATGCTCCCTGGGCAGCTCAGATCAACAATTATGTGCCCTGCAGCAGGCTGCTAACCAGGGACCTACTGGCTACACAAGATCAATTCCAGATATGTGTGCATATCAAAGCTCACCCACTGGCCCATCTCTTCGTTTGTAGATTTCAGAGGGTCAAACTTATCAACAGATAACGTATTGAGGGCAGCATGCTTGATTCACAGTGAAAGTTGGTGGTAACATGCTAACATGGAGAAAAGCTACCACAGTCTCAGATACTGACAGGTGGGCAGTTTTGACACTTTTTTTGCTAGATAAGGTTCTTACTTAAAGTCACATCCTACAAATAACATTAAACATACCGTAGGACATGAGTGTAAGTAAATAAATCTATGAAGGTAACACAAAGAGAAATACAATCCTTGGCTTTTAAATGGAAACCTTTAGAGCTGGAGAGACAATTTAAAGGCTAAGAGCACTGGCTGCACTTGCAGCAGATGTGAGTTCCATTCCCCGCACCCACAAGGTAGCTAACAACCATCCTTAACTCCAGTTCCAGGGAATATGATGTCCACTTCTGGCCTCTTTGGGCATTGCATGCATGAGATGCATTTATAGGCAGGCAAAACACTCACACACGCAAAAAAAATTTTTTTAAAGAAAACAATTGTAAATTTTTAGTAGCTATGTGGTAAAAACAGAATGCTTATGAGGATGAAAGCTGCTTAATATAGACATTAATTAATTACTGATTTATTTTGGTACTTGGAATTGAACCTAGGGCAATAAACTAAGTACCACTGAGCTTTTAAACCTCAAGTTCCTAGACAACAACTCTTTAAAAAAAAAAATTTTTGTGAATGTTTGTGTGTACATGCATGAATATGGGTGTACAAGTATACATGTACAGGTATGAAGGTATGCATGTGCATGCACAGAAGTGTGGAGGCCAGAGCCTGATATTGGGTGTTCTCTCCAGTCATCCTCCATCTTATTTTTTGAGTCAGAGTCTCACACTGAACCTAGAGCTCACTGCATTGGCAAGGCTGGCTGGCCAATGAGCTCCAGAGATTCTCCTTGTCTCAGTCTCCCCAGCTCTGGGATCACAGGTAAAGGCTGTCATTTTAACATGACTGCTAGGGATCTGAACTCAAGTTCTCAAGCTTGTATGGCAAGCACTTTACTGACTGAGTCATTTTCCCAATCCAATCATAATTCTTTTAAAAAATAAAAATAAGTGCTCACTTTAGCAACACATATACTAAAACTGGAATGATACAGAAAAGATTAGCATGGCCCCTGTGCACGGATGACACGCAAATTCATGACGTGTTTCTTGTTTTTTGCTCTCTGTGTCCTGTGCCTGCTTCAAGATGTTAATGCTTAACTTTCTGCTCCTGCTCCAGCCACCTCACCATGTCTCCCGACCATGACAGACTCTGATTCCCCTTGAACCATAAGCTAAATAAACTCTTCCTCTGATAAAAAATAAAAATAAAAATTTTTTATTTTATGTGTACAAGTGTTTTGCCTGTGTATTATGTTCATATACCACATGTGTACCTGATGCTTACACAGGCCAAAAAGGGGGCATTGGATCCCCTGGAACTGAAGTTGCAGGTGGTTGTGAGCTGCCATGTAGGTGCTGGGAATGAAACCCAGTCTGCTTCAAGAACATCAAGTGCTCTTAACCACTGAGCCATCTCTCCAGCACTCCTCCCCCATTATAATTTTTTACGGAAGAATTCAGGTGTAGTCATGCTCAGCACACTTATATTGCAGACAACAGATCAGAGAGAGGATGGCAGCACTGCGTAGAAATGTCACATAGGTCTTAGTCTGTCTAAGCACACTCTATGTGTCCATAACGAAATTACCCAACGATGCATTTTGTGTATGTGATGTGTGATGTGCTTATATGATATGTGAGCCTGTGTGTGTGCATGTGGTGTATGTGTGATGTGAGTGTATGTGTGAAGGATGTCTGTGTAAACAGATGTGTGTTCATGATATGTGTGTCCATACATATGAGCATCACACTTCATATCCTTAAAAGACACACGATGGTTTATATACTATCTCAATGTGGCAAAGAATCCCTGTATGTTACAGATTTCCAATAGTATCAGAAAACTATGTACCTATAATACTTAAATATAGAAAACAAGAAGTAAAATGAGAAGAGAATGGTTGCATAAATTTAAAAACCATATACAAAATCAGAAGTCTTTCTCTGAACTGGACTTTAGTTAAAAGAGGCGCCACTAAAGACAAAAACTCCATATCAGTGATCTTCTAAATAAAAAAGACCATATGTATCACATGATCATGGGTGTGGCATACAAATCACAGAGATAACTTACACTGATGACTGATGAAGAAGTTGACAAGTTCAGACCTTCTAGATCAGCTATCAAGCTTGGAGAAAGGACTGGGGTGGGAAGGGCGATCGGCGTGAATTCTGAGTTAACTGTAAGAAAAGGCCCAAATTAGCAAATGTGCATGAAAATTTAATTCAAATTATTAAAAGCAACATTTTTATTTTGTTAGTAACTCTAATTAAATTATTTTGATTAATAAATGTATAACAACTCTATTTAACATCTTGATTTAGTCAAGTTATTATCAAGTCTTGGCAGTCATTAGATGCGCTTTCAAAATGTAATGGCAAACCTGTAACAAAACAAGAGTAAAAATACCATAATAGTTTCTGAAAGTTTTTATCACTGACATTTACTACCCAATAATTTCACTAAAAGAAAATGGAGAAAGATTCTTCCACACTAATATAAAGAACAGCAGCAATCTTCAAGAGTTCTCTGATCGAATCAGAAATTTTTAAAGGATGCTTAAATCATTTCTCTTTTAGTTTCCATTCTAACCAATTAGGCCATGTAATCTAATTACACACTGTCACAAAGCTATGTGCTAAAACTGGCATGTACTTAAGAACAGACACCTGAAATTTGAAAATCCTCAAATATGACTTGCCTATGGCTTCCAAGACGTTGCCTGGAAGGCACTTGTCTGTCTCCACCTTGCGGCCTCCACCCTGCCGCCTCTGCTCTGCTCCATGCCTCTGAGATGTGCCCTCTCTGCCCCACAAATTTACATGGCCAAACCCTGATGGCTGCAGTGCTTCTCAATTTGTGCCTTTACATGTTTTGATTCCTACTAGCCTATGTGAACAGACCTCATTTTACTGACTTCAGTTTGTAGTACTGTCTCACTTATTCATTCAACTGCAAAAAACTAAAACATGGGAAGACTTTTAGGTTCAAACAAATTCTCAATCCAAAAGCACTGCAAAAGGAGGTAACATTTACTTCACTTGACACCACTTTTCAGAGCATCCTTTTCTCATTTTGGTTTCACGATAACTGAGAAATTATGCAGAAAACTATTACTTCATAAAGTTAACAATGAAATGTTTCATTTTCAAGATAAGATCCTGTCTTCAAGTAGCCTGAAATGTAAGGAAAAAAGACAGGCAAGCTTTAAAAAATAAAGTAACAATACAATTCATAAATGACAATGCCAAGGGAGGAAACTTTTGAAGGAATTCAAACAAATACAACAGAAAAGCAGAGTGAGATTGAGTGTCCAAGGGAATGGGACCCTTGGTTTGCCCCTGGCCTTTATAGTTAGCGTGGTCAAAGCATTGCTACAACCCCCAGCTGGAGGCTGGGCGTGGTGGCACACACCTTTAATTCCAGCACTGGGAAGGCTGAGGCAGGTGGATCTATGTGAGTTCAAAGCCACTCTGATCTACAGAGTGAGTTCTAGGCCAGCTGGGGGGCTACAGGGAGACCCTGTCTCAAAAAGGCCAAAAAAACCCCAAAACACAAAAAAACAACCCCCAGCTGGATTTATCCTCTGAAGGTATAGCTAAGAATCTAGCAAGCAGGAGCTGGAGCGATGGAAGGCTCAGCCGTTAAAAGCAATAGCTGCTCTTGCAGAGGACCTGGGTTCAGTTCCCAATATCCATGTGGTGGGACAATGGTCCCTAACTCTAGTTCCAGGGGTTTCAACACCTTCTTCTGGCCTCCAAGAGCAATGTACAACATGAGTGCACTTTCATACATGCTGACAAAACACTCATACACATAAAATAAAATTAGCAAAAAAAAATTTTAATCTAACAAGCAGAGGAATGATAGGCTATATTCAGCTCTGTAAAATGATTAATTAGATGGCACTGTGAGAGACAGACTGAAGGATAAAACTGAACAAGATGGAAGAAAGGCAATGGTAGAGGCTGGGCATGGTATACATGCCTGTGAGCCCAACTTAGGAAGCAGGGGCAGGAGGATCAGGAGTTTTTTGACAGCCTGAGAAACACAGACTGTCTTGAAACCAAAAGTAGCTATGAAAGGTAACAGTAGTGTGAAACGGAGGTGGAGGGAGACTGACTATAAGATCATAAAGCAAATGCAGGCATCAGCAGAATTAGAACTTGGTTCTCCCAACTTGGATCACAGTACGTTGCCTTTCTACATGACCACTCTGGTGGGGTCGATGTATATTTGTCCATTTGTTGGTCTACCTGTAAACCCATCCATCTATCCCTCATCATTCACAACATTAAATGCTTATGTAAAGAACAAAAAACAATAGGAACCAGCCTCTGATTTCACCTTGGCTTGCATGTAATGAGAAAGAAAATCACACCACAGGCAAGCTTTACAGGGCATGTACATGAAGGGGATCGGAACTGATATGCAGAATGCTAAGTCAAAGTGTGCGGATTACAAACTCATTTTGTTTTCTTCTTGTTTATTTATTTATTTACTTATTTTGAGTATGATGTGCATGGGGGTCAGAGGACAACTCCAGGTACTAGATCTTGCCTTCCACATTGTTTGCAGCTGGGTACTCCAGGTCAACCGGCCCCAGGTTTCCATGGAGTCTACTGTTTCCCCTTCCAATCTTGCTATAGGAGAGCTGTGATTATAGGCATGCACTACCACATCCAGCTTTATGTGGGTTCTGAGGATTCAACTGGGGCCTCATCCTTGAATGGCAAGCATTTTACCCATTGAGCCATCTCCCAGTCCCTTTTATTCTTAAGACTTTCAACAAAATACTCTTTTCTTTGCTAAAATATGTACAGTGCAGCAATTATACAGTTACTCTTCTGAAAGTTTCACTCAGAACTGAATACAGCAGCACATGCAGTTCAGTCCAGTGTCCCCGGCTGCATCACTGGTTTCATTCACTGCTGTCATTCCAGGCATCATCACTAACTCTTAAAACTGCTGGCCACATACAAGACACAGATGTAAGTCTTTTGACATGTCAAAACTCATATAGTTCCCCTGAGCAGTATGAGCATTACTCTAATTTTATAGAAACAGCAACTAATGCAGAGAGACTATGGTGATTAATCTTGGTTGTCAACTTGACTGGATCTGGGATCAACTAGCAGGCAAGCTGTTGGGCACACCTGTGAGGGATTGTAATGATCTGTTCAACTGAAGTGGGAAGATCCACCCTAAATGTGGATGGCACCGTCTTCTTGCAGCCCAGATAAACAGAAGTCCAAGAAAGAAGAGCTTTTGCTTTCTGCCTGCTTGCCTTCACACCATGCTGGCAAGTTCATCTACCCTGTTCACATCTTGCTGCTGCCACCATTCTTTGCTGACGTGGGAATTCAGCTTCTTCAGTCCTCCAGCATGGACTAAGGACTAGTGACTCTCCAGGAAACCTCTAGGCCTTTAGCACCGCACTGGGTCTGGTGGCATCCAGCCTCACAGGCTGAGCAGGTACCAGGTTCTCAGCCTCTCTAATGTGAAGGTGGCCATGGTTGGACTACCTAGACCATATCATGTAAACCAATAAATTCTCTTTTAATGTGTATTCATTCTCTTGCTTCTGTTCCTCTGAAGAACCCTGACTGATACAGAGATTAATTGCCCAAGGTAACACAGCTAGGAAGTAAAAAGAACTGAGATTCAAACACTTACAGCTTAGCTACATTGCCCTCTTGGCCACCTCACTCTGCTGCTTTGACCACACATCATTCAACAGTGTGACATCACAGATCATAAAGCTTATCTGAAGCACAGTATTACTGGCTGATGGATATTTGGAAAGGCTTCAGTTTGCTGCTCTAGTAGTGCAATGACCAGGTTTGTACTTCCTACAAATAAACATCAGAGTGTGACTGCTACTGATCATTTTATTTAGAACATTTCCAGAAAGGTAAAAATAGACCAAAAAACAAAAAGCACACTGCCCTCTCTAACAGCACAATTTGTTCTAGCACAAATGTTTTCTCATGACACTCACAGAGGCATATAACTTCATAATCTAAAAGAATTATCAAAGATTTACTGTTTTTCTTTTTCCAATTTACAAATGAATGAGGAAAAGAAATTAAGTCATCGAGCTGGTTAGAGGCATGCCAGGACTGATGTCTGTGCTCTTGGTAGCACCCCTTGACTACTGCATTGGGAAAATTTTACTTAAAATTGCAGAACCATCTTGCAACAGAGTCAGTCTACAGCAGGAGCTTCCTCAGAGAGACAGTCTGGTGATTCTGGCAGGAGCTCTTTCCCCTTTCTCTCAGGCTTTACTCTGCTCAGCTTGCCTTCCCCAGCTCTGCCCTCTTACCTCCAACTGCTTAGCTAATACAAGACTCAGGAGTTACACCTTGATACTCCTGGATGGATTAGACACTACAATCCTAAGAGCACTCTGTGCCTACCTCCCTTTCATCTCATTGATAATGTGGCAATCTAAATGCTGGCTATTATGATTCAAATATGAACTTTGCTCTGGGTTCTAGTATTGGAGATTTGGTCCCCAACGATGTGCTAGGTATTTGGGGAGATGCTTGAAACTTTAGTTGGTGAATCCTTAGCTATAGGATGTAGGTCACTGGGGAAGGGCCATTGAAGGCACCTTGTTTCTGCCCCTTCCAATCCCTCTCTTTGCTTCCTCCTCCATAGGTGTTGGCCAGCTCTGTTTCACTTTTACCCCAGGCCCAAAATAAAGGAAGTGGGGGGCCATGGAATGAAACCATGAGTCAAAACAAATCTTTCCTCCTTCCAAACTGCTTCTCTCATGTCAAAGCAATGAAAAGTTAACATACCAAAGGTTTGAGAGATGGCTCAGTGGTTAAGAGCACTTAGTGTCCTAGAGGACCTAAGTTCATTCCCCAACACCCACATGGCCAACATCTATCCTTAATTCCAGTTCCAGGAGCTCCAACACCCTCTTTTGGCCTACGTAGGCACACACATAGTACACTTACAGATATGTAGGCAAAACATTCATGCACATAAAATAAATAAAATCTTGAAAAAGGTAATATATCAACGTTATGTGTTAAGTCTTATTACTCTGAAAGTTTCTTGTAGGCATGCTGTATTTATTTTCCTCTCCAGCATGTAGAGGAATACCTACATCACAGCAAATAGTCAATAAATACTTCCTGAATGGAGAAATGGACAAACTCAACATCTGTAGTTTTCCTGGTATGCAGTGTGGAGTAAATGTGTCTGCCTTTCCTTAAAGTTAATCTACCTCGAATAAGCCGAGACATTTAGCCACTAAGTGTGGCTTGACCATGTCACCCACAAGCTGCTTGTCCCAGCACTCAGGACCCACTATAAGCTCAGAGGCAGCTGGAAGCAAAGTCAGCAGCCTTGGGTTTGTCTTTAGTTCTGAGCTCAGATCACACTTCTCCCACAGGCCTCTTAAGATCCTCAATGTACCTTGCAATTCTATTTCTTAAGACATACATATGTAAGAGCATAAGTAAATCCATGTGCTCAGTATCTACACCCCAGACTAGATTTTAGTTCCTGGAAGAGAATGAGAAGATTCTATTTATGTATGATATTACAGCATCTAGTAGAGTCCCTTGACTCAGCAGACAATCCATCTAGAGACACTGGCTATACTGACTTCTAAATAAAGAGTTTCAAGGGTTACTTCTGATAAATGCAGGATTTTGCAAAGATTTTTAAAGGAAAATTTAACTGTATGGGCATTAAAAACAAAGAGAAATATATAAAGTACTGAGTTTTAAAAACAGATTAATATCTTCT